GGTCTCTGTTCAACACTTGTATCTTTTTAGCTCCTTCAAATAACCATTACATTAATTATGTGTTCTCATTTTTGTTCTTCAATTAACTTTTTTTCAAGACATATAGCTTCTCAGATCTATTAAGCGTTCTTCGCGTCACATTTAATCTTGCTCCGTTGCCATTAAGAATTCAACTTGGTACCTCAAGATCACTTTGACCAGTGGTGCAATACATGCTGTGATCGGAAGACCCTTTCTGATTCGTTGCTGATATGCAACTTGGCTTTTAGTTGTCACCTCTCACTCAAACGCTTGCATTAGTTTCTTTGGTTCAAAAAGAGCTGGGTTCGCATATGCCCCATCAGAGAACATACACACACGTAGAAACATAATTTATCATCATTACATATGTTAGCTGGGGGTTTGTTTTCATCGCAGTGTGACTGCATCTTATCGTGTTTCAGTAGCTTGCGCCCCTCCACTACATATTGGTCTGTTCTTAATGGTATTTTTTGCACTTTCAATGTCACTGGTATCATGTTAGTCATTGGTTAGCCGGACAAACTCAGTTTCCAGATCTTCAAGGTTAAAGGTTTAAGTGTGACACCTAATTATTTAAAATATGTAGCCCACTGCCAAACTTCTATTTTGCATTCAGGTACTTGACCCGAAAGCTTTGGTTGAGTTCCCTAGGCAACCTGAGACACAAACACTTTACTAACCCATCGCTCTTTCTCGCTCATTTACAATGCGCAGACACCCTGCTTTAGTTGTCGCATTTGCTAGATGTTTTTTCCATTTGTCCTTTAAACAATTGCTTCACATCGTCGCCACCTTATGGATCGGGTGTCCTGCGCTGGCACTGGTGTCAGCGGTGATACACTGTTCACTTTTCTTGCAACATCCCTAGATTCTCTCTCCAACTAATCCACTTACTCTAACCAATTTTTCCTCCCAGTATTGACGATATCGAAGATCAGTCAAACCTCCGACGTGGCAAACCTGCTGCTCATTGTGTTTTTGGAACAGCATCCTCACTGAATTCGGCAAATTACGTTTACTTTCTGGCTCTTAACAAACTGAATGAACTTAACCATCCGGATGCGGTGTCCATTTTTACGGGTTAGTGCTTTGTTTCGCCCGCGGAATGAATATTTTTCTTTTTGAATAAAATGTTTTTTGAAATTCAAACACTGTTATGCTGCCTACTCACTTATTTTGTTGTAGTTACACCTGGCTTCAGCTTAAGCGAAATGATTTTTAATGTGTAATGAGACTGGACCGTAACGTGGCACTTTGGTCGGCATACCCAACTGATCCATTTAGCAACGTTGGGTGGCACATTCCACGTGATACCGGATAATTTAGTGGTTGAATCCCATGAAGACTCAAAATCCATCTTGTATGTAAGCACATGATGGTGGGTGTAGATGGCTTTCTTCCATCAAATCCGGTTATCGGATATTACAACCTACGGATTGTAAACTGTGGTCGGTTGGCGTACAACATGACCGCCACGAGTTGTTCACGACGCTATGGAAGCTCAATGACGCATTATCATGTGCCTCAAGCTAAGCAGCCTCTGGCCAGTGAGGTAAAGCTCATCAAAACTCACCTGCGGGTGATTGTAGTCCCGAGTGCATACTCTGCATCCACGGCTGCATGTGAGAAATATAAAGCATCTCCCAGATCGGGTTCCGTAATCGCACTCCGTTGTGGGTCTGCCGCTGCTAGGTGTAGGGTACCTCGAACAGAAACTATGGGACCGGAGAGCATCTTCTACTCAGAAAACGTTGCTGATACTCCTTTTCTGCTCTTGCCTAACTTTCAGTATTATTCTTCACATCTTGGTTAGTAAAACTACCATTGGCTGGCTTATCGAACTACTTGTGGTGCTGTTGTACAACACTGTGACGTAGTTTCGCTAGCAATGCATCCATACATCCTTCGGACCAGAGGTCTCATTTCACATAGGTTCATTTAATCTTTTTACTGTAGGTCAGATCGGTCAGCAGACCGTGCTGACACATGCGCTTCAGGCTTTTGGAGCTTATATGTACTGTGTTTCTGAAATATGCAAACAAGCTAGTAGCATGGTTCGAATTTGATTCAACATCTACCATTAATGACTACAGTCTTTGAGTATCTAGCAACACTTAGTCGAAGGTTTGAATTGTTCATAGAGACGGCATTGCCGTCGGCAAAAATGCCGTAGACAGTCTACTCGGACGGACACCGATGCAGAGCCATACGCACACGGTTCGATTTCGGACGTGAAATTGGCCTTAACAAGCGTAATCTCAACCGGTGCTTTTTATCGTTTCAATGTATTCCCAGATTGCGGATTGGAGGCTCTCGAACCTGATCTTTATTGGTAACTCTCATTCTTTATCCGTGCGACGTTTCACTTCTACGCGACCACTACCAGTCGCGCAAAGGTTTAAGTAAAACAGGTCGCCTCCATCTAGGCAAGTTCGAAACGACGATCTCCGGGTCCCAAGGTAAGCGCCTAATCCTTTCGGTCACCAGCCGACCTAGTGATATGCATGTATAAATTGGTTGCTTCTCGAATTCAGACCTGGGTTCATACCTGTCGGACATATAATGCCGCTCGATTTCTTGAGTTGGGCACGTCCACAGCCTTGATATCACTGACGCTTTTCCTACAGAAATGGTCGCATTGTCTCACTTTATACGCACCAGTTGAGAATACTTAAGTCCGCCGTCTACGGTTGGTAAGAAACTCGCTAGTACTAGTTGTTCAATAGGCTATATTCTTCGTATATCCGTTTATGACTTCCTTGTGCTACATTGGTTGTCCTCATCGTACCCAGTTAGACAAAGCCACAAGGCAGCCGACTGGCGACATGACACAAAGGCATGGGGAATTTGTCCGAGGACACTCGTCCGGTTGGTACTTCTGGTTATAAACTTCGGAATAGATCACACCAATGTCTGGAGATTTGATCCGACATGGCGCAACTTCAAAGTCACTCTGTTGACTTTCAAGTCCAATTAGCTTCACCTACTAGACCTCACTTCCCTTACTTTACCGTCAACTTTGATTCAGTCGGTCGTGCTTTCGTATATCTCTCTATAACACACAGAAAGACCACCGCACAACTTTCTACCCCGTAACCTTTTATGCTACATCCCCTTGGACCTTTGTGCACCTTTTGTAGAACACTCCTATACGGATAGGATTTGTGTTCAGGCAACGTTTTCTCCCCCGATGTAGTCACCGAACTAATCAGAAAACATCTAGTTTTGTTTTACACTTCAGGAGTAAATATCTGCTAAGTGACTAATTGTTTTAAGTCACACTTCATAATTGCACACCTTTGGTCACATCCAAACCTTCCCATTTCCAGCCATCCTGAGGGATTTGACGCAAGGCATTGCGTACCTTACTATGTCTTCCTTCCTGCGTATCGGTTACTCCTACATGGCTGGTTTTACTCCCAACTATCGATCATCGTGCACTCACTCAAAATGGTCACTCGATTCGCTCCTATGTGTAAATTTCGATATTTCCAGCAGTTAAACCAATAGGATGTTGATATGCACGGAGTTATCCCGGCTAATCCTAGCTGCAACGAAGTCCGCCGCAACCTCTGCCAACAAAACCGGCCTGTGTAACAATCGCGAAACTTGGTGGTCTCAGAGCACTTCGAAGATGGAGAAGGTAGCCATTTCTGGAATTTTTCGCAAGCTTTTCCAGGTCATTTAGACTACTGGCCACCGAAGAGTTGGCTTCACTGAAGCTGTTTGCGAGGATCATGGATCACTAATTTGCTTGGACACATGGACCTCTGGGCTGAGCACTTTCAACTCAAGTGGCCTCCTTCTAGTTGTTTAACAAGTATGTTTATTTGCGTGCCTTGAGACGTTTCACTGGAACTACTCACCGAAGCGGATGTCCGTTTTGAGCTTCCTCATTCGATTTGATCCAAAGCTGCTGGCTCGGACGGACTTTATCCGTACCTGTTCAAATACTGTGGCGAGGCTATTATCATCCAGGTAACAGCTCCGTTCTGCAAGATCTGGTATAAAGATTCCATCCTCTTGAGACGAGTAAATAATCCTACCGATTTTCAAAAAGGTTGCCAGTAGCTTATGCGCCAACTACCAAGGAATCAGTCTAATCTCCGTCGCCTCCAAATTGCCAACCTCTGTTTTACCGCGCAGACTAACACCGATTAGGAAACAGCACTCCCGTGAGGAACAGGCTGGTTTCCGTCCCGGTCGAGTGTGTGTGGACCACATGTTTACGCTCCGTCAACTCTTCGAGCTGTTCCACCTTTATCTTCAGCCCACCATCGTCACCTTTTGGACATCCGAGCTGCGTTCAGCTCGGTCTGTCGGCCTGCTTTGTGGCTTTGTCTGCAAAGTAATGGGGCACCCGACAAATATGCCGCCATATTTCGCGTTTTATTCGGCAATCTCTCGGGCAGAGCGATGACTTATAGTAAGCTCTCTTCACCTTTCGTCATCACTAGTGGTGTGCGACAGGGATGCCCATGTCCCCCTTTCTAATCAACTTCCTGACTGATGTCCTATTAAGAGCTCTGGATGGTCTTTAGGGTTCTGGCGTAAAGTTTCTTTCATTCAACGACGCAACTGATTTGGACTATGCCGATTATACTCCCTTGCTCGGTGACGACCCACAAATCATGCAGATCATTCTAAACTGCTTGATGCCTGAAGGTACCCAGTGCGGCATGACCTTCAACCCATCGAAATGCGAGTTACTCCTTCAGCGCTGATTTTTGATGCTCGTGGTTTGAGCGGGTAGATAGCTTCATCTGCCTTGGAGCTGCAATTTTTCTGGTGACACCATTGGAATAGAGTTTTCTCTCTGCTTTGCCTAAGCTCGATTGGCTTTCGCTGATCTGTGGCGTCGTCGTGACATTTCACTCTTGGTGAAGGGAGGGGTCTGAATGACCTGTGTTCGCTGTTTCTATTCCACGGAAACCACTGTTGGCTCATCCGTGCAAATGATTTGCCTCGGATTTCGGCATTTGATGACGGTGGTGATGGGAACACCACGTTTACAACATCGATGTTAGGCGTCGCGTCCTGGGTAATACGGGCCTCTCTCTCGACAAGCCGATATCGCTCCGCCAACTGACAGGGCTAGGTCGCGTACTACACAAGCCGTGCGAGCGTTTGCCACGGCGCTCTCTAATTCGCTGCGCAGGGCCGCATTGGAGAAACTCACGCAGTCACATGAAAAACATCGCTGCTTGGAAACAATTGAGGACATGGCGCATAATTGCGGACAATGGAAACTTTGCATGACGCCACTGGTCAACCCCGTAATCACAAAACTGACAGTATTGCCAAAACGGTGCGCGAAAAACTTTTTTGTGTATTTTCCCTTTCGCGATCTTTGCCCTTACTATGCACATTCATTCCATGGCTCGACGCCCATGATTATATATATATATATATATATATATATATATATATATATATATATATATATATATATATATATATATAATTGCAATAATCCACATTGGTTCTTGCATTGGCTGTATGAATCAACAATTCTCCCCGGAGAACAAATACTCTACAACACTTCCTCGTTTTCGTTGCAACTGTCCAAATGTTGGCTCATTCGTGTAAAGTGAATAATCCCGGCAAGTAACTGACTAGCGATTAACATGCTGAAGTTGATACTACGTCTTCTGTACTACATATTGTCACGCGAGTGAGTGTATCTATATTCCCTACTGTGAATCCGTCGTACTGAAGTTAAGTGCACTTAGGGAAAAAGCAGCTATTATCTAGGTGATAAGCGAAGCAGAATGGCAACGGTGTCTGCTAGAATTTACATTAGAAACGGCCAATCCTCTGGATTGACCTAGAGTTAGGTAAGTTTAACCGTGGTGGTACGTCAGTACTTTAGTACATATTTCATTAAAAATTAAATCCACGCACTGAAACAGTTGATTTGTAGCGCAGAATAGCTGCAACCTAGATGTATGAAGACAGATTGTTAGTGAATGGTAAGCGGTTAAATTACCATGAGAACCGCAGGCTGCATGGGAAAATTCATACGTTCAGCTAACCACCTTACCTGTCGTGGCTCTTGATAACCCATTACTTGTCTACTC